AACCATATTGCGCCAGGCCTTCCTGTCCTTCACTGCCTCCCTGAGTTTGCTCAGTTTCATGCTCAGATTCAGGAGCTAGCAACGACCAAATAATCAGGATCTAATCTTGACTTTCCTCTCACTTTTATTCAAGAAATAAGGGAAATCAGGCTTATTAATTAAGCATATTTAGTTCTTTCTAATTATCATACAATCATAAAATGTAAAGTTTGGAAGGAATCTTTGGAAATTATCTAGTTCAACCCATTACTCCAGTCCTTCCCCATATTCCCCACCTTCTCTTTATACATTGTCAGTGAAGTAGAATCCATGATCTTCTGAGGTAGATTCTTCCTTCGTTGAATAATTCTTACTATTATAAAACACTTCATGATTTTCAGCCAAAAACTAAATCCAATGTTTCTTGTCTTGCCTTCTGGAACAACTCTGAATTGTGCCCCAGCTCTTCAGATTCTTGAAGCCAATAATCATTTCTCCCTGAAATATTTTGTTCTGTAGGCTAAATGCATCTAAAACTGTTCTTTATAAGCTTTTCCTTCTAGGTTCTTTATTATCTTGCTTGCTCTCCACTATATAAGCTGTAGTTTATCCTTCCTAAATTATGATATCCAGAAGTGGACACAATATCCTAAGCACTGCTCGAGCAACAGCAATAGAGAGGAACATTATGTGTCTTGGTTTTAACAATATATTTCTGTTGATGTAGTCCAAGATTGCATTTGCTTTATTGCAGTTACATCCACTGTTGCCTCATATTCAGCTTGTGCCAGCCTGCCACTTTGCTGTTGTTCTAAATGTTGTAAAATATGGAAGTGAATTAGAAATGAATTGAAATTAGAAATTTTCATATTTTTTGCAATGTTCATGGAGGGGTTCTCTGAGACCTGAAAATTATTTCAAGGGTATCTCCAGGGTAAAAAGGTTGAAAAGGACTACTTTAATGTATTTGCCATCCCCCCAACTTTGCATCAGCTGAAAATTTGATAATATTTTCTAACCCCTCACTGAATTTATTTATGATTGAGTGACTTTGGGCCAGTTATACTCTTGCAGACTGCAAAATCAAAAAATATCTACCTGCCAACTTGCACTGCCTTCCACGCCCACTCTGCTGATGTTTTGGAAACCCTTGAAGACCTGGCTTTTCACCCAGGTCTTTGGTAAGCATGATTGGAGCCCCCTCTGGGTAGTGTGGGTTTGTTTCTTGTTCTTGCCCAGTTTTTGCCATCTTTTCTTTCTTTTTATCATTGTATTTTTTTATTGCTCTGTTTTTATATATGAATCGCCTAGAGTCACTAGGCGTTGGGCAGTGTAAAAAATTATTAATTTAATAGATCAGTTAATATATAATGATCCACAACCTTCAATAAAGAGGCCTTCAAATTGCAGTGGATTAATCTGAGATAATAACAACAACAACAACTTTGTGTTGCCACTTTGAGTCACTTTGTGTCGCCGCCCAGAGTCACTTTGTGTGAGATGGGCAGCTATATAAATAAAATAAAATAAAATAATAAATAAAAATGCCTTTAAGGTAGTCCTTCACATTTATTGGGAAAGCTATACTGAATTATTTTCAGATGAAATCTACCTTTCCTATTTCACAGTGAAACAAAATGATATTGTGCCCACATTTCATTTTTACCTAAAGTAGTTTCCCAATTTCATGAATCACAGATCTGGTATCATCTACCTTTCCTCCATTTCTTTTATGAATATTGGAATCTACCATATAATGTGTAGGTGTATACAAAGTGTTGTCATTCATAATTTTGTCTTTCTCAGATATTGCTTCTCTGATACGCAAAACTGAAGCAATGTTTTACCGTCTCTTCACAACAATTGCATGTTGATTGTTATTCAGAATGCTTTATCAGGTCACCAGAGACCCTCTTCCAATAAGTTTCAGAGCTCACATCATCCAGGTGGTGTCCTTATCTATGGCCTTTATTGAGAGGGATCTCATTCCCAGACATTTACCTGATTACAACCTTCAACCTATATGCAACACTACAGATTGGACAGTATCAAGAGATAGAGCAAATGTCCTACCCACCAGTATGTTTTGATTGATTCATTCATTATGTGCCATCAAGTTGTTTTCAACTTCTAGCTACAACATAGATTTTTTCCATGATGATCTATCACTAACCTGTTCTTTCAAGTCTCCCAATAGTGCACACATTCCCACTGTAACTGAGTCCATCCACGTTGCTGCTGGTCATCCTCTTCTTTTTCCTTCCACCTTTCCCAGAATTAGAGCCTTTTCCAGAGAGCTGGGTCTCCGTGCAATATGTCTGAAGTAGGATAATTCAAGCCTGGTCATTTGTGCCTCGAGTGAGAACTCTGGGTTGCTTTGTTCAATGATCCATCAGTTTGTTTTCTTGGCTGTCCACAGTATTCTCAGTATTCTTCTCCAACACCAACATTCAAAGGTGTCAGTGCTCTTCCTATCTTGCTTCTTTAAAGTCCAACCTTTGGTTCCATAGAGTGTTATGCAAGCCAGAGAATACCATAGCTTGCACAATTCTGATCTTTGTAGGTATAGACGTATCATGGTATTTGAATATCTTTTCCAAGGCCTTCATGGCTGCTCTACCAAGTGCAGGTGTGCTACCTATTTCTTGAGTGCTTGTTCCTTTACTGTTGAACCAGTAAGTATAGTCTATACCAGTAAGTACAGACAATACAATGGTTAGTAACAGTCTGTCTGTCTGTCCGTCTGTCCGTCCATCCATCCATCCATCCATCCATCCATCCGTCCGTCCATCCATCCTATATTTATATAATGCCTAAAGACCAACAGGAAGAAAACAAGTTACTTGTTATTCTTCCACTGGTCATTTGTGCATTCACACAACCTACTCACTATCTCTCAGCAAGTGCAATTATATGAAGCCTTTCTTTTGGGACACAGTGACAGCTCCAGGAACAGGAAAATGATGATAGCCACCACCTTAGACAAGCATATAAGGGTGACACCGGGGCTTAGAACATTTTGTGGTTCAAAGATGAATCTCCATTCATGTCAATATACAGATTCATCAAAGAATGATTAAAGACTCATTGTTCTTTTATAATTTCATTTTCACAGGAACACTATTTTATATTAATCCTCTCTAGAAGAATAAGCATAGGACAGGAAGGCCTGGCGCAATATGGTTCATGGGGTCACGAAGAGTCGGACACGACTTAACGACTAAACAACAGAAGAATAAGCATAAGCAGCCACACTGTTTAATTATTCTATTTTTGTTCACTTTTTCATAATGGAATTCAGGGACTTTGTAATTAGTTCTCTTTTACTGCCATATTTTAGCTTCACCACAACCCATTGAAGTTGGTTAGGATCAGAAACTGGCCAAGCAAATATTTGAACCAAATTCTCCCCAATTCCATAATCAGGAAAAACATTTTATTTGTAATGCGTATTATACACTATAGATCAACAACAGCAACAACAAATGGTTTCCTCTGAACTGAACTAATTCCCTGCTGATTTCATATCCTTGTAGTTTTTCTGGCAATAATATGGGAATAGTTGCTCTTGTATTCTTCTAGGACTTTTTTTGTTTGTTTTATTTTGTTTTCTGTTTTTTACTTCTCAGTCCATCCTACATCCATGGGATTCCTTGTTAATCTTTCACCCAAGTCCTAACTGGGGCTGGCCTTACTTACCTTTCCAACCCAGAGAAGTAACAAGTCAAGGACTATCTCTTTCTCTTGCTGTTGATAATTCATGTATTAGTAATACTCTCCACATAAAACAGAGGACTTCCTTAAACTATACATAAAACTCATTTTTCTGTTTTAAAAAAAATATGTCCAGCTGATAATTCTGCTACCCTTATTTGTTTCTAATTCACTTTTATTTCTTTAGTCTACAGGTAGTCCCTGGGTTAAGAACTCCTGGTTTAAGGACAACCCATATTTAAGAACAGAGCCTATTGTAGCAAAGTTGAGTTAAATACATAATGAGTCAAGTTAAAATACACAACAGGTCAAGTTAATTATTGTTGTTTAGTCGTTAAGTCGTGTCCGACTCTTCGTGACCCCATGAACCATATTGCTCCAGGCCTTCCTGTCCTTCACTGCCTCCCTGAGTTTGCTCAGTTACTACTTATACAGTATTATACAATAATACTGTTCCAGCTTACATACAAATTCAACTTAAGGACAGACATTGGGAACAGAACTCATTCTTAAACTGGGGACTACCTAAATTTATAACATTGTTTGTATGCATGTATGTGTGTGTGTGTGTATATATACGAATAGAGAGAAAGAGAAAGAAAGGGATTGGATTGAAATGACATTTTAATGTTGACATTTTAATAAATGTTCTAAAATTTTAAAAATGGAATTGTCCTTATTCAATATATGAATATATATAAATATTTGACATGGAATTTAAAAAACGTTCTAGCATATAAAATTGCAATAAAACTTACAGTGCATGGCATATGTATATAGGAAACATCAATGGCTCACACAGATTTTATTTGACATCCATTCTGTGATTTTAATATCAATTTATCATTAAAGCAAGAACATGTCAAGTGGATCAGTTTTCCTGTGTGAATGGACGCTGTATTCCAAGTTCATGGTTGTGTGATCAAGAGGATGATTGTGGTGATCAGTCAGATGAAACAGCATCTTGTGGTAAGTAGAATCACAGACTTTATAAATAGAATATTTGATTCATATAAGAAATTGATTTGTAATTTGATAGTTACCTAAGACAGGCAGTTTATTGCCAGGTTCTTCTGTTGTCTTACATAATAAATTCCTCTAGGAATGAGTTTCATACTCCCAGTATTAATCTATTATCTAAATAATAGATAATCTATTATTAGACAACTAGGCTATATAAATTCTTCCACAAAATAAATACTACCTATCTTTCCTTTCTGTGATTTGATATTTATTTGTTTGTTTGTTTCTTGGATGCACTAAGTATTTGACAAAATATATAAATCAAATACTCAGGATATAAAAGGGTTTTCTTCAAAATAGATTAAAATGCAATCCTGATATTATTGAGAAGAAACAATTCAGAAAGCTTTTTATTTTTCCCCTCTGTGGACTAAATCTTCTTTTAAAAAAAAGAAGAAAAAATGATAATGTCTATCTTCCTCATGCACTTATACTTTTCTTTCATTGGTTAGTTTAGCATAATTTAATAAAATAAAGCAGTGGGAAGCAGGAATTATTAAGAATAACTTTTAGCAAATGGTGAAGGTGGTGCTTGGGAATTAGGGAAGAAAAGATAAAGTGTCCTGAAATGAGTGTCAGAAGAACAGAAACATTTCAGAAACACAGTGAAAGCTTGTTTCCTATTGTTAGGAAGAATTTCATTTGAAAAGGATATGAAATCACAGTTGCAGACAGGAGGAGAAGGATGTGAGAAAAGGAAAAGATTAGAAGTACACTAATCTATCACAAAAGTGCATGAACCATTCTGCACAGGCTTTTGATAAAAGCTCGTGTGCAAACTCTCTGAACAAATCTGTGTCTATATTTATGTAAAGGAGCTCATTATTTTTATTAATACATATTCATAGTGAATGTATTTATTAATTATAAAAGTAATTCATAGATGGTAGCAAAATTCTTTAAAATTTTATTAGGTCAATCAGAATGTTTTTAGACCATGTTAGAAGCTTGCAACTAAACTGCTATAATACTATCTTTGGTGGCAATACCCATTTATGTATTAATTTCTGCTAAATGTTTTTGAGGAAACTGGAAAGAATAACATTTGATAATTAAATCTAATATAGCATTGTCTAAGACATGTAGTTCATTTTTCTTTAATATATTGGTTGTCAGATGTAGTATTACAAAACTTGAGATCAATGGTATTTAGAAGCATTGGTTATTCATTTATTCACTGCCACTGATGGAGTGGATGGTATAAAAAGTTTGTAAAATAAAATAAAGCTAAATAAAATAATAATGCTAAATAATCTGGTTAGTGATGTATAGAAGAAACCAAATCTGAAACTAATATAACTTGCTGCTGACAATTTCTTGAAAGGATTTGTCTGTAAAGCTAAGGAATTAATATGTCCTCTTATTGCAAACCCTGACTGAATCTTCCTGTTATGATTTCTGTACTGACTCGCTGTATAAACTTGCTTGCATGTAGATCTTGCTGGAAATCAATATGTTTCTGTAAATGTTGGTGACTATAAACTCCCTTTGGCATGAAAACTACAGTACTATGGCTTCTGACCATTCTATAGTCACTAGCCACAGATGAGGTCTGTTAATCTTCCCTCCTTAGCAAGCTCAGCTGCACTGAGTTCACTAGGACAGATAAATTGATATGAGCATAAATATATCTGAAATGTAACCCACTATCCTGAAGTACATGGTGCGCTTGGGATAAAAAAATATCTAGGCTGTTTCATAAATAATATGAGTGTGGCCACTCTGCTGCAGTGAAACAATGTATTATTCAGCTGTTATGATCAATCTTCTGATCTCCAAGTCTGGTCCCTTCTTCCTTCGTCTCACCTCTTTTGATTATCTGGTCTCTTACGCCCACAGTGCTGACAGAGGAGGCATGGCTATTGATTTAGTTCTTATTGTACAAAAGCTAATGTGTTCATCTCTTGGGATCTATGATGTCAACAGACATTCTGAACTCAGGTTCCTAGCTTTCTAATGGAAAAGGGACTGATTATTGTTAATGACAATCTAAATTAAGTACTCTTTTCAACATATTTGGTTTATTTCTATCCTCAAAATAAATCTAAGCTTGATAAGATAGTATAAAATCACTGAGTTGAGTACATCTTAACATATAATGTTCACATATAATGTTTCACAAGTGAAAAAGAATGCTACTATGGCCATAAAAACTATCTATACCTTTAATTTAGGAAGGAAAAAAAACCCAGCATGATTAAAAAGGATTAAAAGCACTGTTAAATGGTCTTTTATCCTTTTCAAATTGATATCCTGCCTTTTATCAGCTACCATTGCATCACACTTTGTGAAAGCTGGCAATTAAGCTATATTTTCTTTATACATATTTGAAAAAACCCCGGTAATTATTCTGATGCTTTTTGAGGGTCCCTCTGTTAAAGGCTAAGCATTATCTCTCTATATATAATATTTTATTAAACTTGTATGCCACCTAACTCTTAATGACTCTGGGTGGCTCACGGTAATCAAACAAAAAAATTACAATAAAGTCAGTAAAAGGTAAAGATAAAAGATGGCAAGTGCAATGAAGAGAGGGGTCTCACTCTCTCTCACCAAAGACCTGGGTGAAGAGCCAGGTCTTCACAGCTCTTCTAAACAACAGTAGAGTGGGGGCCATCCAGATCTCGGGGGGAATGTCATTCCATAGGGCATGTGCTGCTACACTGAAGGCATGCTTCTGGGGTCCCAATAGATGACATTATTTAATTGAAGGAACCTGGAGTGGGCGCACCCTGTAGGATCAAATCGGCCAGAAGGATGCTATAGAAGACAGGTGTCCCTCAAGTAGTGAGGCCCTATGCCATGTAGGGCTTTATAGATAACATCCAGCACCTTGAATCACACCCAGAAGCAAACCGGCAGCCAGTGCAGCTTGCAAAGCAACATGGTGATTACTGCTCATGCTGCCTCATTCTACACCAGTTGAAACTTCTTGGAGGTCTTCAACGGCAGCCCCATACAGAGCCCCCTCCCGCCCTCAGAGACAACTATATGCATTAGCAAATTAGCTCTGTTTTATTAATAGAAAAGAAAAACCTAAATGCTATCATGCATAGGTAATACTTCTGCTTTTTACATTTGTTAAATGAAAAATGCTAATATTGCCTTGTGTGGTCTGCTGTTGGACTGTATGATTTCTTTCACCTGCCATATTTCCTTCTTTTCTAGTCTTCTTATTTTCTCCTCTCTCTCTATCACACAATACAGTCTAGCTTTCTTTCCCAGGTTCCTGAGGTATTTCCCTTGGTGCTCATCAGTCTGTATAGTCCACAGAATTTTTAAAAGACAGTTTAATTAAACAGCAAATAATAAATGGGAGACCAGCATGTTCCAAAGCAAAGCATCAACCACAAGTGTAATATACATTTTCAAGAATGCTTCTGGCTTCCACATAGATCACAGAAGTACATTATTTTTAGAAATTATTTTAAAATGATGTTTGGGTGTGTGGAAGGACACACACCCCTCCCTTCTTGGCCCTCCCCCATCATCAGGACGGCCTAGCTGCCAATCAAACAGCAGTGGTGGGAGGAGGCTGGGAGGAGGAGGGAAGATAAGATGGCTACCGGAGAGCAATGCAGTCACAGGCCTCATGAGAAAGAGGCTGAAAAAATGAAGCCAAAACCCAGGAGTCAAAGTAAAGAGGCAAACTAAAAGATATACAGGCCTGATGAGAAAGAGGCAACTGGAAAGGAGGCAGCAGCTGAGAAAATGGGAGAGAGAGAAAGGTGTTTATTTCCTTCCCTCAGAGCTGGTGTGAGGGAAAAGTTTTTTGAGCCATTTCCCTCAGAGGGAGCAAAAATTTGGAAGAAGAGAAGAGTCGAGAAGCCCAGCCCAGAACAAACAAGCAGAAAAGGTAAAGACTGTGACAGCACAAAAACAGAAAAGAGAAACTAAACAAGATAAAAAACAGATTGAAGTCTGAAGAAAAAGGAGTATGAGTCTGTAAAGAATGACAATAGAGATATACAGGGATTGAGATCAGAGAAGTATAAAAGTCAGCAATAAATAAATATAGAAGAGAAATATATAAGAAAATAGTGAAATTGGAATTTCAAGAATATAGTGTAGATAAAAAGCTTATAGAAAATAGTTAAAATAGAAAATTGTTTTATTATTAAGATTAATTTCTGAACTAGTTGAAGGCATTTATAATTTACAATTCCTTTTTTAAAATTATTTGTAAGATTTACTTTTG